TTAGTCTCAGTGACAGAATTCTCTCCTTCCAGGCAGGAGATCTCGGTTGAATTCCAGCCAATATACCTCATGTGCAGCCACCAACTGTCCATCAGTGGAGGCTTCTGTGTTGCTATGATGCTGAACAGGTTTCATCAGAGCTTCCAGACTTGGATGGACTAGAAAGAGATACCTGGTGATCTCTGCCCAAAAGTCAGTGAAAACGCTATGGATCAGAGCAGTCTGATTATGAGGCTTGCACAGGACCAGCCAGTGTGTTGCTGCTCGTTATACATGTTGGTGGTGGGCCGTCGAGTCGGTTCTGACTCTTAGAGATCCTGTATAGGTTTCTGAGGAGCAGCTGGTGAGTTTGAATCACCAACCTTGCAGTTCAAACCAACCTGTGGTAGAGTGCTTATCTTGTGGCACCATATCAGGACTCCCATTGTATACAGGATCACTATAAATTGGGAGCCACTTAACAACAGCGAATAACAACAGGAGTGACTTAAGATTTACTGCCATGAGAGCAACAGAGATAATGTAGATACAGCAGGAAAATCCCTGGACTGAACATTTGAAGCTCTGAGTCTAGACTGACTGTAGAATGTACCAGGTAAATGCGTGAGCTCTGGAGTATGAAGGCCTATGACTGAATCCTGACTCTGTCGCATCATTTTTTATATAATGTTCACAAGTTACTTGTAATCTTTGTTGTTGTTGTTAACTGCAGTCAAGTTCATTTTCAACTCATAGTGACTCTAGGTGATAGAGTAATCCTTATGGAAGCCGCTCCTTGGAAACCCTATACAGAGTTGCTATGAGTCAGCACTGACTTGAGCACTTAACAACAACAAAAGTCTTTATGGAAACAGACTGCCAAGTCTTTCTTCCTGGGGTGACTGGGTGGGTTTGAATGATCAACCTTTTGGTTAGCAGACAAGCTAACATGGCTGTTCCATTGACAGCGCTCCTTCTGTAATCTAAGAAATCATAAAATGTGCACCTCTCCAGTAGATTTTTTATGAGGTGTGGATATGACAATGCATGTAAAACACTTAGCATTATGCTCAGCAATTTGTTAGTGAATACCAAATGCTGCTGGTTGTTTTTGTTGAAGACACATCTAGATTCAAACCCCAGACCTGTCATGTAGTTGCTGTGTGACCCATTGATTCCCAGAATGACAAAATAACACAATGCTGTGGAGCTGATTCTGACTTTATAGCAACATGGTAGGAAAATGTATAGGGTTTTAGAAAACCCATAGGGTTTCTAAAGCTGATACGTAGCTTCCATGGAGTGGATGCTGGGTTCAAACTGTTGACTTTCTGGTTAGCAGCTGAACGTTTAACTATTGTGCCACCAGGGTGATTTGAGTAGGTAAATTTGAAACATCCAACCCAGCACTGGTCCCCAGGCAAACAATGAGATGCCACTGTCTTAGCTCTTCCCAGGCTCATTTTATTCAATCTTAACACAAAGATTGGTATCAGTGATGCAAAAAGTTGGTATAAGAACATCAATGAAGTGGTGAGTTAAGCCCTACATCATTCAGCAAACTACTGTGAACCCAAGTGGAGGCCTGGTCGGCCAGTAGCGAGGCAACATCTGGGGACTCATGGGCTCAGAGTCAATGACACAGCCACAGAGGTCTAGATTGGAGAGTAGGGCAGCCAGCCGATAAAAAGAGGCCGGACAGACGTAAGAACACCCACACTTGCAGAGGATGCCCATTTGACAGGACTTCAATGACTGGATAAACAGAGCTCAACCCGAAGAAGAAAGAAGAGGGGAAAAAGCGTCATCTGATACAATTTGATAAACAGGACCTACACCTATCAATGCAGTAGCTCAAAAAAGGAAACAAATCCCTGCTGCAAGAACTATACCCACCCCCTCCACACAAAGGGTAGACAGGGATGGGCAACTTGGACATTGGCTACCCAAAATGGGGGGAGGAATATAAAGGCAAGAAGTGACTGGCTTACAAGCTTTCAAGAGGGAACCTAGATCCAAAGGGCATGGAGGAAGGTAGAGTCTCCAGTAAATAGTGTCCAGCCTGTCCAGGAAGGGCTGGTGAAATGAAATATAATTGGGTCCCTTGTGATGCAACGGTGAATAATTGTTATCAGGACTAATTGTGAGGGTTGGAAATCTAAAGATGGACATTTTGTAGCAAAGAGGGGAGTGATTAACTTATCAGTCTAGGACACTGGGACCATCGATGGAGAAGAGCTAAGAGCGGAATCCTACCCAGAGAGGCGGTAAGGCCTGAATGGAGGCAGAGAAGACGACGTCAAGAGATGGTGTGGCTGGGGACTCGGGATCAGGGGCTGGAAAGGGGCTGAGGACTGTGGTGGGGGAGGGGAGTGCAGGCTTATAGGGTACACCCCTTGGTTGGGTGAGGATGCATGGACAGAATGGTAACTATGCCAGTGAAATGATGGATGATGGAATGAATGTAAAACTGATGTTCTCCCATGTAGACTATCACACAATTCACAGTAAAACATTAAAAAAAAAAAAAGAATTAAGATGTGAGACACTGTGTGGGGAAGAAGGAGAACTAGTGAATGGTCACTGAAAACCTTATGAACAGCAACATACATTGTCAGATACAGTACCAGAAGATGAAAACATTATGAGTAATACACAAAACAAAACAACAACAAAAACCAATCAAGATGGATTAGCACAGTGGCAGCAGCAATGCATTCAAGCTTAACAATGATTGTGAGGATGGTGCAAGACTGGGCAGTGTTTCATTCTGTTGTGCATAAGGTTGCTATGAGTTGGAATCAACTCGATGGCACCTAACAACAACGAAGACTAATGAAAATAGCACTTAACAACAACAACAGCAATGACTAATGATGTTGAACATCTTTTCATGTGCTTGGCCATTGTATCTCTCTTTTTTGGAAAAATGCGTATTCAAATCTTTTGCCCAATTTTAATTGGAATAGTGGTATTTTATTGTTGAGTTGGAAGAGTTCTTTATGTATTCTGGATATTAGGATCCTCATCAAGGAGTATTGGTGATACAGCAGTTAAGTGATCAGTTACTAATCTAAAGGTTGGTTTAAATCTGCCAGTCACTCCACATAAGAACAATGTAGCAATGTAGCAATCTGCTTCTGTAAAGATCGTTGCTGTTGTTGTGTGCTGTCGAGTCGGTTCAGACTCACAACGACTCCGTATAGGGTTTCTGAGAGCAGCTGGTGGCTTTGAACTGCCGGCATTACAGTCAACAGTCCAGTTCTTATCAGCCTTGTAAACCCTGTGGGGCAGTTCTACTCTGTCCTCAAGAGCCATTATGAGCCAGAATTGACTAAAGGGCAATGGGCTAGACCCTTATCATAACTTGAAAATATTCTTCTGATTGTATTACTTATCTTTTCACTTTCTTGATGGTATTCTCAAATGCATAAGAGTTTTCATGAAGTCCAATTTATTATTTTTTTTCTTTTGTTACTTGTGCTTTGGGTATCATATCTGAAAATCCATTGTCAAATCCAAGCTCCTGAAGATTTACTCTAAGAGTTTTATCATTTTAGCTCAGTATTTCAATTCTTGAGACATTTTTAATTCATTTTTATATTTGGTATGAGATGGGGGTCCAAATTTATTCTTTTGCATTTGGATGTTCTACTCCTTTTGAGTTACACAAGTATGTGTTGCTTAACGTCTGTTTA